ATTTCAATCTTCAAAATCATAATGTGAATCCAAACGAACAAATTCTTAGAGATGTTTGAGTGTTTTATGACTTTCGAGAGTTAACTAGCCTAAGTCCTTTACGTTTGAAACGATATCAAGTGGATATTGTACTGTTATATAATATTCTCTTACGAAGTTATATCATTATATGTTCAAAATATCGTTCAAGATATAATTCTCCATCGTTACGCTGTATTCGTCAATGATCCTATTCATCCTATTTTAATCATTCGAAGATATTCGCAAAAATAGAAAACACGGTCATCGATGATTACCGTGGCAGTCAAATGTGTTGAGAGTATACATATCGTTTCGCACATGTGTGCAGAGGTCAGGGTACCTGTTCGAAACGGCACTCGGCGGGAGTATTTCTTTTCTTTTCTTTTCTTTTCTTTTTTTTTTTTTTTTTTGTGTTCCTTTCTTTCTCGCCAACGAGAACGCGTTCACCTTTCGCCAAGGTACATTCCATTTTACGTGGTGCCTGTACACTGATGGACCCTATGAGAGCTCCCGTAGGCTACGCACGCCGATGGCGCCCCTGTTTACAACCGTCGCGGCTGGAATTTCAGATATTCACGCTCGATGCAATCGATTACCGAACCGGACGTAGCCACGAGCCACGATCGTTTTCTCCTTTAACAGATCGGCCGGAGAGAGCGCCGACAACGACGTTGGGAAAGAAAATCGATCATGGTGTTTTGCAAGTTTCCCGTGTACGGCAATCTGGGCCAAGCCACGATTAGGGATACGTGACCGTCAGAGCGACGGACAAAAGGGCCTTTTAGTAGATGTACTTGTTTTTTTCTTTCTTTTCTTTTCTTTTCTTTTTTCCGTGAAGATTCTCTCTCTTTGTTGTCTCTGTCTGTCTATCCTCCGGTTTCTCAATCAATCGAGAGAAAGTTGCGTGTCGGATAGTTGGACCAAGTGAAATCAAGAGGAAAAAGTTACCTAATGATTTCTGAGAGATGTTCGTATATAATTCGTGAAGTTCGCCTCCTTTCTTGTGGTGATTCATGTTCTAATGGTCAGTGTGCTCCCTTCGTGCCGTGTAAAAATATTCCCAACGAACATCTTCCCAATTTTATCGAGGTCCGGTATTCCGAGAAGTGCTGAGCTGTAATGGTAATAACCTTATGAAGCTTACGAAGGACAACTTTTAAACAAAATGTTCAAAGCCATCACATAGACACAATAGTGATATACAACATCCACTATAAAGAACACCGTAATGTAAATTTTCACCCATCATAAATTGTACCGTAATTTAAGTTTAACTTCATAAGTTTTACTAGTTTAGGATCAAGGTCTCCTCGGAGGGTGTGCCCGACTTACTGATAGGGAAAGTCGGATTCAATCAGCGAGCTTGAACAAAGCACCCCCCGAGGAGACCTTGATCCTAAACTAACAGTAGTGAAACTTATGAAGTTAAACTTAAATTACGGTACAATTTATGATGGGGACACCTGTCGAGAGTTATTTTCCAACTTTCTAGTGTTCTTTCCGATTAGTTCGATTCCGTCACAGTGAAACGATGAGTAAGTCTCATCAGAATCAAACCTCGTGACTTACAATTAGTCAATCACTCATATTACTCGATCGCGAAAAACTGCGTCGAAGTCCGAAAAATACAACCCCAACTATCCTTACCAACGTCTGTTAATCCGCGAATCAACGACGTAACACGATAGTGTATTTTTACATGCGTTACATGAAACATTTTGAAATTTTATCAAAACTTCAAATCACTTTGGATACAAAACATTCATTACAAAACATATATTTAACGTTAATTCAGCACAGTATGAACGATCATTATTGACAGATTATTATTGCAGCTGTTTAAATAATTCTGTGA